CTCAGTGAATATACCAATAAGGTAGGAAATGTCATAATTATATTTTTTTATTATCCCCCAAAGAATACACTAGTATGGCAGATATTGCTATAATTTAAAAGAAAAGTGCTATGTAGCAACCATGACTGCTGATGAAACAAAACAAGCTGGTTTTTCATCCTGTGGTATTGACAAAAATGCAAAGATTAAAAAAAGGGATTTTCAGATATTATTCTGTGCCTGTTCTATCTGTGGTTGTACAATAGTTGGGCAACAGCTCTGCTTATTGGTTGCTCTATGCTTTTCTCTTTTGAATAAACACATATTCCGCATGTTCTGGACAATCTTCCTGGAAGTCAGATTGATAACGGCAAATGGTCCAAGAAATGATTTGGGTATCACCTCACACTTAACTGATGGAGTAAAGGAAGCATTTCTTGTTTCCAATGGTAGTCTTGATTTCAAGTAGGGAGTGAAACTGATGATTCATCCTATAGTAATCAAATTTATTGTGATTATTTAATTTCAATTTGCTTTTTTCTAAGTAGGATAATTAAGTCTGAGAAACAAGAGGTTTTTTTGGGGAAAGAAAGACTTCATATCCATCCAGTCTAGGATGCTTTTTCTTATAAAAATTACTTAGCTAATTTATACTGTAGCTATGCTACATATCGAATAAAATTCCTAGTAATTCTTAGCTTCCCCTTTTCCAACTATGCTTAGATTCATAGTTTCAATTCCCTTCAAAGTCACATACATACTGAGAGAAACCAAGATGGTGGCATAGGGTAGACACCTGAATGCAGCCTACCACAACAATTTTGAATTTAGAACTGGAAAACAGGGGAAACATTGCCCTGAAGGGCCGGATGGCTGGCTGAGAGGAGGCTCTACCATCTGGGAAGGAGAGAGAAGGCACACGGAGCCTCAGGAACTGTGAAGGTGCGGAGAACTGTGCGCGCGAAAAGGAGGCCACAGAGTTTGCTGCTGGCTTACTCCCGGTGTGAGGAGAGAGCGGCCGAGTTCGCTACTGGCTTACTCCAGGTGCAAAGAAAGGGTGGACAGCTAACGTGCGGCTGGCTTTCTTGTTCAGAAGGAAAACAGAACCACCCTATTGCTCTGATAGACGGCCCCAGTCAGGGAGAGGCAGAGATCTCTAGGAGGTGTGTGAAGCCAGTGGCCATTACTGTGGGACTCAGGGAGGGGCTGATGAGAAACCAAAGCTTGTCTGCACCACCCAGAGACTCCGCTCCATCCAAGCTGAGCATAGAAGCTCTTCCGGAGGCTGACTTTCTCTTTTGCCGTGAATAGGACTTTCCTAAGGAGAGACTGACGGGAATCCAAAGCTTGTCTGCACCTATGCCAAAGAGGTGTGTGCACCTGCAACCAATCTCTCGGGACTCACCGTGAATAGAACTTTCCTAAGGTGAGACTGACAGGGAACCAAAGCTTGTCTGCGCCACCCTGATACTCCACCCCATCCAAGGGGAGTACAGAAGCCCTCCTAGCTGAGACACTGCTGATCCTCACAGCCAATTGGCTTGGAGATCAACACTTTCCAACTATGCTTAGATCCATAGTTTCAGTGATACCAACAACAAGCAAGGCTTAACAACAAGACTGCACACACAGCCCACAAAGGGCTACACCAAGACTGTCCACATAAGGTAACTGGGAAGGCTATGCTACTGGGCTCTACTAAAACACCTAGCACACAAAACTATTCCATCAAATCGGGAAACAACTAAAATGCAGAGAAGAAGCAGGACACAAAGGAAGGAGATGGAGGATTAGAAAAGAATAGACATTGAGTTCAAAACTATAGTTATAAGGTTTTTCAAAAATTTCCTAAAAAAAGCCAATAAAATAAATGAGCCTCATGAGGATATGAAAAAGGATCAACTAGAAATAAAAAGGGATCAACTAGAAATAAAGAAAACATTGTCTAAAATAAAAAAATATTACACAGAGTCCTAAAAACAGACTGGAAAATTATAAGAATCAAGACAAAGATTTAGAACACAAAGAGCCAGAGCACACTCCTCTGCAGAAGCAAGAAGATAAGAGAATCCAGAAAGTTGAAGATAGTGTAAGAAACCTCTGGGACAATTTCAAGTGAACTATCAGAATTATGGGGGTCCCAGAAGAAGAGAGAGAGCAAGATACCAAAAACATATTGAAAGAAATAGTGACAGAAAACTTCCCCCACCTGGTGAAAGAATTAGACTTACAAGTCCAGGAAGTGCACAGAATCCCAAACAAAAGGAATCCAAAGAGGACCACACCAAGACACATCATAATTAAAATTCCAAAGCAAAAGACAAAGAGAGAATATTAAAAGCAGCAAGAGAAAAGCAGATAGTTACCTATAAAGGAGCACCCATATGATTGTCAGTTGATTTCTCAACAGAAACTATGCAGGGCCAGATGGGAATGGCAAGAAATATTCAAGGTGATGAATAGTAAGAACCTACAGTCAAAAATACTCTACCCAGCAAAGCTATCACTCAGAATAGAAGGCCAGATAAAGAGCTTCACAAATAAAAAAAAGCTAAAGGAGTTCATCACCGCCAAACCAGAATTATATGAATTGCTGAAGGGGGTTCTTTAGGAAGAGGAAGAAGATAAAGATAAAAATTATAAACAAAAATATGTAACTATCAACAAGTGAAACTAAAAACCAAGGGAATTAAAATATCTGATGATCAATATTAACTGGTGAATATAATAGAATCGGAGGTATGGAAGAGGAGTGGACTGACAATTCTCAGGGAAAAGGGGAGTAGTGGGGGATATGGGAAGGGACTGAACAAAAACTGTGCACCTATGGATGAGGACAATGGCGGGTGGGGAAAGGGCAGAGGGTGAGTGGAAACCTGGTGGAGGGGTGCAACTGAGGGGAGAAAAATGAGGAACACATTTTTAATAATCTGAACAATAAAGATTTATTAAAAAAAAAAAAAAGACCCAAAACTTCAATGCCTTTTAGTCCCAGATTCTTTTTTATCCCAGTTTCAGTTTTCATATCTGTTACATCAGGGTATGAACCCCAGTTTTTTTGATGAGTCAGCAAAGGATGGATCTGTTTACTGATGGAACTGGGGGCCCAAGGCCCTGTGCTCACCTTGGTAGTCTTATTCTAAAAATCTGGTCATAAATATCACTAGTGCCAAAGGGGTAAACTTTGTTTTATATCTTTATGGTAAAAATAAAGTTGAAACAAGTCAAGTCCTGAGCTGGTGAAATATTAGTACCAATTACTTTTTGTTGTTTTTGAAAATATTTATAGACATTCATGCCTGTATACCAAGCCAACATTGCATGTTTAGGAAATTTGTTTCTTAAAGCAATCTTGTACCATTTTATAATTTAGGGTTCCCATACACTGGATTTTTCCTAAGAAGGGGCACATGGCTATTATTTGTGATTTAGATTCTTGATATATAATAACTACCAAAGGTTTTGTTGTTTTTAAACAAAGACAACTGGTCTACACAGATTTGCTAATTATACCCCCAGTTTGCAAAAATGATGTAAAATAATTTGATTTTATGTCTTGCACCTGATTTTCCTTGTTACTCTTTGAGCATTAGAATGACTTTGATATTTTATAATACAGAGATTTCCTGTAGTCTAACCGTAGGGTAAATTTGTTACCTTCTTTGTAATTACTTGATGGTATGAAAAATACCCTGCTCACTGATCAGTCTCATTAATGGATCTTGTGTTTTTATTTTTTTCAATTACAGTTTACACTCAATACTATTAAAAATAATCTTCTGTCAACCCCATTTAAAAATATATTTTTATTGATTTCAGAGAGGGAGAGGAAATGAGAGATAGAAACATCAATGATGAGAAAGAATCATTGAGTGGCTGCTTTCTGCATGCCCCCTACTGGGGATAAAGCCCCCAACCTGGGCATGTGCCCTTGATCAGATTCAAACCTGGGACCTTTCAGTCTGCAGGCTGACGCTCTATCCATTGAGCCAACTGGCCAGGGCTCAACCCATTAAAAAAAAAAAAAAATATATATATATATATATATATATATATATATATTGATAGATTGATTTTTTTATAGAGAGGAAGGGAGAGGGATAGAGAATCAGAAACATTGATGATAAAGAAACATAGATCAGCTGCCTTCTACACATCCCCCACTCAGGATGTGCCCGCAACCAAGGTACACACCCCTGACTGGAATCGAACATGGGACCCTTTAGTCCTCAGGCCAACACTCTATCCACTGAGCCAAACCATCAACCCTATTTTTAAAAATTGATTTCAGAGAGGAATGGAGAGGGAGAGGTATATAGAATCATCGATGAGAGAGAATCATTGATTGGCTGCCTTCTGCACGCCCCCTACTGGGGATTGGGCCCATGCAACCTGGGCATGTGCCCTGACAGGGAATCAAACAGGGACCTTCTGGTTTATGGTTTGACACTCAACCCTGAACCACACTGGCCAGGCACCTTCAATACAATTTTGTACCAGTTTCCAGTGTACAGCTTAGTGGTCAGAGAATCATATACCCCACGAAGTCCTCCCTGGTTATTCCAACCACCTGCCTGGCACCATACATATTTACCACAATTTCATTGATTATATTCCCTATGCTATGCTTTACATCTCTGTGACTGTTTTCTAACTATCAATTTGTACTTTTTTAAAAAAAAATCCCTTCACCTTTTCACCCTGCCCCCCAAACCTCTTCCTTTCTGGAAACCACCAGTCTGTTCTCTGAATCTAGGAGTCTGTTTCAATATTGTTTATTCTGGCCTTTAGATTCCACATATAAGTGAAACCATATAGTATTTATCTTTCTCTATGGATTCATTTCACTTAGCAAAATACTCTCTAGAATAGATCATGAATCTGGTCTCGACTGACTTGGAAAGAACCAAGAAAACAATGTGATTTGGCCAGTCAGATGCTGTCCTTGACTGCTCTGAGTGGCTTCTGTCTTCCTCACTTCCTTCTGCCTGCGCCCCAGGCTGCGTCAGCAAATGCCTTACCGTCCATGCAGAGGAGTCCAGACCTTCCGTGGGGGCAGAGGCAGACGATGTCTGTCCCAGATTTGGGAACACAGGTGGCCCCGTTTCTACATGGGTTGTTTTCATATGTTGCCAACTGGCACAGCTTGCCTGAGTACAGCCTTGGACATGCCCCAAACTGGTGTTCACCATCACTGAGAAGACAAAAACAAATTATCCCATCAGAAAACAATTGATCTTTACACACACATACACATGCACGTACGCACACACATAAATAAAGTTACAATTACATCTTGGAAGTGGAACTTTTTCTCCTGCCTTTCCCTTTCTGTGTTATTTAACTTTTAAGTATTTGTAGCTGTGTGCTTTGCATCGAAAGCAGATTATCAGCTTTATAGATCCTCTGAAGCCAGGAATTCTATTTTAAGCCACCCATTTTTACTTTTGATGTATCTCATCTCCTATTTCACACCAGGTGCCTTTTCAGAGCTTCATTAAATATGCGTGGCATTGCCTCAATAAATTGCTTCAAATAGCTATTAAAATAAAACTGTCTTAGAGAATTTCAAGCCTGGTGACAGGCATCCTCCACGGAGGACACTGCCCTCCAAGAGTGCCCTAGTGGTGGTTTGGGAAGGAGATCACAGTGGGGAGCTGTGATGACTATACAGCTCTCTGGCAGAAAGTATGGCTTGGTGGCCACAGTGAGCTCGCCTGGGAGAGCTGCGCTCAGGAAAAATCCTCCTCTCACCCGGAAGCCTTCTCTGGAGGGAAAGGGGCCTGAAGTCTGCTGTTCTGCCTCCCTGCACCCATTCCCCTTTGAACCGGAGCCTCAGCTTTCCTGGCAGACCCACCCCTCCATCACTCTCAGCACAAGCCCCTGACAGGAGGGGCAGACCGTGGATCTGACTGTCCATCACAGTGATTGATGCAGGATAGGTAAAAGGGCCAAGCCAGGCCAACGGGCTTTTTTTTTTTTTTTTTTTTTTTTTTTTTTTTTTTTTTTTTTTTAAATCGGGGTTGCTAAGCTGGTAGCTTCTGTGGCATCTGCCTGTCCAGAGGGGAGAGATTGGCTGAGCAACACAAGTATACCAAGCAACACAAGTATAAGAGGCTGTGGGAGATAGATAATTAATGATATTGGGCACCACATCTAGCCATTACTCTGCAGGTATATGATCTGATATATTGTACTCCCCCTCGCCCCCCCTTTAAGTTGTGAACCAATTTAAGTTGGGGTTTTGTCACTTGCTGTTAAATGAATTCCATTTAATATTAATGTCTTTTCCTTCCTTTTTTTATCTTCTCATTATCAAGTCCACCCACCTTGCCGTATATGGACCTTTAGGGTTTTATTATTTCCTGCCTACATCTTATCTTCTAAATATGACTGTGAGTTCTTAAAGAGAGGAGCATCCCAGAATTAGAAAGCTGAAATATTTTATCTTTATGACTCAGCCCCCCAAGCTAGTTGTAGGTTTTACCCATACCATGGGATTTTCTCTTGTCTTCATCATTCTGGTCTTTTGATGCTTTCCTTGCATATCTTAATCCTCTCAGTCCAAAATAAATTCACTCGCAGGAAAATCTCAGATTTTTTTGATACTAATGAATACCCGACTTTGAAATCTGAAGAGGTTTTTTTTTTCCCAAATATATATATATTGATTTCAGAGAGGTAGGGAGAGGGAAGAGATAGAAGCATCAATGATGAGACAGAATCATTGATCAGCTGCCTCCCACACGCCCCCTATTGGGAAACGAGCCTGCAACCCGGGCATGTGCCCTTGACTGGAATTGAACCCAGGACCCTTCAGTCTTTGGGTTAATGCTCTATCCACTGAGAAAAAAACAGTCAGAGCAAAAAAATTGTATATTTTTTGTTAATCCTCACACAAGGATATTTTTTCCCCATTGACTTTTAAAATATATATTTTTATTGATTTTATAAAGGAAGGGAGAGACAGAGAGAAGTAGAAACATCAATGATGAGAAAGAATCATAGATCAGCTGCCTCCTGCACGCTCCTACTGGGGATTGAGACTGCAATTGGGGCTGACCAGGAATCCAACTGAGACCTTCTGATTCATAGGTGGATGCTGAACCAGAGCCTGGCTGGCCAGGCTCCCCCATTGATTTTTTGAAAAGGTGGAAGGGAGGAAGGGGGAGAGAGAGAAACATCAATGTGAGAGAGACATATCAGTTACCACCCGCATGAGCCCCAACTGGGTCTGGGGATTGCTCCTGCAACCTAGGTACATGCCCGTGGCCAGAAATCAAACTCAAGACCCTTCAATCCGTGGGCCAATGCAACCGGCCAGGGACAGAAATATATATCCCTTTATATTAATTTTCTTATGTTAATGGGATGAGGCACTGTGAAGAACCTTAACGTATCAGATAGCAGGTAAAGCTAGCTTTGGAGGGCTGTGAGGCTTTGGGACCCTCAGCTTTTGCTGACACATAAAGGTGATCCTGTAAGTGATCAGTAATTTACTCATTTTATAACTCTGATGGCAGCTTGCATAGGGTTTTACACATAGTATATAGATTTAGAATCTCATAGGTTTTCAGAGTTGGGAAAGAAAAAGAGATCCATGTCACTAAGACGGCAATAAAGCACCTTAGACATACACTTCTGCTTCTGGGCTATGAAACAAAGTTTTGAGGATTACTGAGCCAATGCTACTCCTTCTTGCCTGAGAATTGTAAGAGTATAAACCAGATTACCTGGCAGGTATAGAGATGCCTTCTGGTGTGACTTAAAAGAGTTAGTTAGGAACTCGATGTTGTTGAGGGCCATGGATAAACCTAATGTAACTTCACTTCCACACACCTAACTTGGAATACAAATACAAATACTCAGAACTTAGCATCTGCATTCTGGGAAAAAGTCTAGGAGAACAACACTCTTGTAAGTTGCATTCTGGAAGGACCAAATTAGTCTTTTTATAGTAAAGGAGAATGCCACATATGGGAACGTCAATGAATCTACATATTGACTGATTGAAGTGCTTTAATCACACAGCCCTCACCATATTTGAGATGCAGGAAAGATGCTTTTTTGTTAAAAACCAAGGAAAGCACTAATTTTAATCATGTCCTATTGATAAACGCAGCTTCGTTTCCTTTCTGCTTCCATCAGGTGTTGGGAGAAGTTGGTTGCATAAATTGACGCGGATCTGACTAACTGCGTGCATCTGCACATCCGCAGGCGGCTAGCGCAGAGAGAAAAATAGAAATTCTGTAGAAAACACTCTAAGAAAGGGGAAAATCACCTTCTCTGGCTAACCAAGGGCAAGTACCCAAAGCCCTTTGGCCCACTGTAGTGTTCCACAGTGTTATATTAAAAAGAGTCAGATTTAACCAATCGAGACTTTGCCTGATGATGGTAACTGTACACTTTGCTTCAAATTTTACCTTCAAGCACTGCTGGTATGGCTCAGTGGTTGAGCAATGGCCTATGAACCTGAAGGTTGAGGTTTGATTCCCAGTCAGGCACATGCTCAGTTGCTGGCTTGATCCCCAGTGGAGGGTATGCCGGAGGCAGCTGATCCATGATTCTCTCCCATCAATGATGTTTCTTTCTCTCTCTCCCTTTCTCTTCCTCTCTGAAATCAATAAAAAGATATATATATATATATATATATATATATATATATATATATATATATATATATTTAGAAAGAAAATAAATGATTTAAAAAAACAACAATAATCCAGAAAAATTATACCATCAAGTCCAAATGATTTCCTGGAGTGCCAATACTTTACCAATGGTTTTAATAAAATATGTTTGCCACCAGCTGGGTAACACCTGGACCTAAAGGTTTCTCCTATTCATGTTTTATCAAAGATCTGTTACTGAATTTCAGTTTCTTCAAAGCTAGCAAGTCAACTGTTTCAGCTGCCACTTAACCCATCCTGATTGCCTTGCCACACCCTAAAGCGACAGGAAGGGGTGCCCTGAGGCTGGAGAACCTTATGGAACAGTCTACTTCTGGAAGCAGTGACTGAAACATGTCACCTTCCTTCACCCAGTTTCCTTTACATGTTGTAACACTGCTGTGAATTTGTGGGTGCTGTTTAATTAGTTATGGGAGAATATATTTATAATACATGAATATATAAAGATACTTTTTCATTTGAGAATGTTTTAAAAAGCTAACCCTTCCCAGAGCTATGAACCACACATAAACCTGTTTGCAAACTTTCTCTAGACAAGCCAAGGCACTTTTCTGACTAAAAGTAGGTCTGGGAGAGACCCCCAGGTATCGGTGAGGTTTATACCTGAACACCGTATTTAGTGTCAATGGCTGTCTACTAATATCTGCTGTGCCCCTGCATCCCAGACAGAGCATGTGCCATGGATATGTAAGACTCGTCTTTACTGTTGGTAGGGGAGACAGCATCCGTTTATGAACTAATCTCTGTAAGATACAACCTGTGTTATGTGGATTTATATGCATATGTCAACAGGGGCGAGGGTTTTAAGGCCTTCTTAAAGCTGGACTCTGGTCTGGTGCCAGAGAGGATATTCCATGTGGCTTTCAAATGCAGATTCCTGTGCTCCCCTTGCTCTCCGAGATTTTTATTTTGGGGTCAGGCCTGAGATTTTGCATTTAATGAATGTCATCAGCAGGTCCTTTGGCGTAGCCGACTGTGAATTTAAGTCAACTCCCCTGAGACAAATTTCCTCACAGAATAAAAGCCATGGTGGCCATCAGCTACTATCATGCCATTAGTAGGATGCCAGGGCATTATAATTTCCTTTTTTGGGGGCTTCATTTTGACTCTTATTTATTTTTTTTAAATATATTTTGTTGATTTTTTTACAGAGAGGAAAGGAGGAGGATAGAGAGTTAGAAACATTGATGAGAGAGAAACATTGATCAGCTGCCTCATGCACGCCCCCTACTGGGTATGTGCCCGCAACCAAGATACATGCTCTTGACTGGAATCGAACCTGGGACCCTTGAGTTGGCAGGTCGAAGCTCTATCCACTGAACCAAACAGGTTTGGGCTCATTTTGACTTTGACGGACCTGTTTCTGAACACACAATACAAAGAATAGAGGGTTTTTGTTTGACTGGTGCCAAATATAGCCTATTGCATGTTTCTTAGAGTTAACAGCATACAGTAGAAAAAAAAATTTCACTCAGTCATTTAAAAGCTTAGTTAAAACAACAAC